TGTGTGAAATAATCCTAATGAAGTCTCTGATTCAGGTTGTTAAGATTCCGAACTTTGGGGGGACCAGTGGATGGTGAACATCTTTTAAGGACAGTGATTTTCTGGTATGTAACTGGGGCGGGTATGTGTAAAGTTTAGGACTTCCAGGGAAGAGTTCTGGCTGTGAACTGCCCAGCAATACACCCCAGTCTCGCCAAGTTCTGTTGAAATTTTCACGTAGAAGGTATGATCCCACTGTCGGTCTTGTTCCTGGTATAAATCTCTGGTTTGAAAACTTTGCAGCATTCAAGGCGTTTCAAGCTTGAGGGCTGAAATGTCACTTTAAAAGTGGGGGGGGGGTTAAAAAGGTCACACAGCTGCAAATAATAATAGCCCAATGAAATTCAGATTCTAGCTGCAGCCCACTTCAAGAATAACACTGAGACAGGAAACAAGCCTACTAGATCTTTTTACCAGTAAGTCTATGTAAGAACACATCTGATAAAATGTGTGTGTGCGCACGTGTTCACGTGTATGTGAGACAGATACACAAAGAGAGACAGAGACAGACATACATAACAAGACAAATAGAGACCCAGAGCAATAGGCACACAAAAAGAATTTTCAAGAGCAAAGATACACACAGAAAAAAAGAGAGATACACATAGAGATGCAGAGAGGGATGCAAAGACACACTCACAAAATAATTGATTTTCTTGGACTTAAATTCAAGGGTGTTTATTTTTTCTCTTTGAAGTTACAATATTAAGGTTAGAAAACTAGAGGTATATTTGAAATAAAAGTATTTCCTTTCCTGTCATTTTGCAGTTAGCGTCCATGGATTACTTTTTCAAATGATATGTCTTTGAATGGTCTGATTTTACAGTGTTTTACTAAAATGGTCCTGTTTTACAGATGAGTGAATAAGGTAGTGAAAGATACAATATCCTTCACAAAGAAAGAAAGTCCTGGCCCCAAACTGAATATATAATTCCCTCCCAGGAGCTAGCCATGCGTTAGGAGAACCAGCCTGCCTCCATGCTGTTAAAGTAGAATCAGACATCTTAGAATAAAATAATTTAGAGTGTGTTTCTGGTGCATTTGTTATTATCATGTGAGGCCATTTGCCTTTCTGACCAATACATTGAGAGAAATGTTTGCTTTTTTCCCCCCCCAGAAACACGAAGTACAAATTTGCTGTGCAGTTAACTAATTTAGTTAATTAGCAACTTTTGTTTCCAGAAACAAAGACTGATCTGGACTCTCACACAGTGTGACTAACTCAAGATGCTCCTGTTTGTTAGCTGTCCTTGGCACTTTAAGGAAGGACGCGTTTCCCCCCCTAAAACCCTTTCTGCAGTCTTGTAACCTCAGCAAGGTAACAAGGTCTCTTTAACATGAGTCCTGACAAGAAGGCTCTTTCCACACTCATAGTAGGGCAATAAATGCTGACAGATGTTGTTAACATCATTCTTAAAATTCGAGCCCCCCCCCTTTCAGATCTATCATGCATTCGTGGTTAGATTAACAATGGCATAGCTGATGGGGATGTATCAATAATATTAATAGTCCTCATTTATATGTGCAACTTCAGTTTGTACCTTTGAAATTCCCCTAACTTCCCGTGTTGATAGAAGTGCACGAGGATTTTCAGTTGAAAACAACATTGTTAGTGTCTTAATATTCCAAATCCTGTATCACTGTATGAATCTGTCTGCTGTTATTGGAAGAAACTTGTGCCATTCTAAGGTTGGAGATCAAAGATCGGAGTTTGTTGGTAACTAAGGAGCAGTAACGGCCTCCTATGATGTAGACAGGGAAGCAGTGCTCTTGGCTCATTTCAGCAAACCGAGATGACGGAGGTTTTTTTATTTTGAGCTCCGTTGTTGCCCTTATTTAAAATACATATTTACAGTATCTTGTGCAGACTCTCCAAGTTTTTAGTAACATTTGTTTTTTGCAATATTTGCCTTTCATGAAATGGTAATTCCAAATATATCTCTAAAGACCTGGCAAAGCATTTGAATGGATTGCATCAGCCATTGTGGAAGATTTCCCATTTTAGACCAGGAGGAATTTGTGGGGTCAAACGCTGAACAATGAAAGAGATTCTTGCTCATTTCAAGGCTGAGGAATCCAGTGGCAGTTGAGGGTTTGAATTGTAAATCAAGCCTGTCATCTCCTTGTCAACTAGGAAAAACCTCTACTCCCTTTATGCACTATTAGGGTTTGTTATTAGGGTTTTTGTTGTTTTCCAAAAATTTGAAGGGAAATTAGACTCATAAGGCATTTGTTCTAAGTGAGCATTGAATCTGAACTTTGGAGAAGAGGAACAAAAAACAGAACTATTTAGAAACTCTTAAATGATTAGACAGTGTCTGCCACAATTATGACTGTATCTAACCAAATTTATGGGGTCACTCAGTGTTTCTCAGTGGGTGCTCTGTGGGGGTCACGAGGAGCCAGGACATGGCTAATAGACTGGACTTCAGTGGCTTCACTGTCTATGGCAATATTAACAGACTGAATTTATAAGGAATGAATACATTTACACGTGAAATTTAATGAAAACTAACCTCGTCTCGTTGTTTTCACCAAAAGCCATTTCGACTTTTTTTTTTTTTTTCCTTTCATGAACTCTGGTGAAATTTCTTCTCTGGTCATAACTGAGAATGGGGGGAATAAGTGGTCTGCACAACCTCTTGCCTTGCTGCAAACTTGGTTCTGGGCCAAAAAGTTTGAGAACCACTGCCTTAGGAGTGGAGAAAAGGCACGCTGTTTGGGGTGGTTTATTATGATGATTCAGGCTTCATTATCCATTCCACAAATATTTATTGAACGCCTACCATGTCAGCTCGATGCAGTGGAGCCTGGGGTATGGCAATTGCCAAACAAAACTCAGTTCATTAAAATGTCCCAGCTGGTAAAACAACAGAAGGGGAAAGTAGAGGTTGAGGCCTGACTTCTGTGGCTAAAATCGTGTCTGAGTGATTTGCCCCACCTGATGGATGACACAAGAATATTTGCAGGGCTTTAGTAGGAGTCTGTTGAGAGAATAGTTATTACACTCTCTGCTAGGAAAGAACTATAATAATAGGTCATAAAAATAGGCCAATGGTCCTTCACTAATACATCAGACCAGATCGTACTAGTTGATAAAAGTAATGAAACCTGTGTGGTAGAGTGGTACCATTTAGAAAAACTATCACAAACACCCACACAGCAAGGAATGAGTAAGGGTGTGCTATTTGCAGAGGGCTAAATGTGGGAACCGCAGTGCATCAAAATAAAGCAGTTGAGGTTCACACACTTATATATACACACCCACTTGCCTCAGACTTTATTAATCACTTAAGCCTATTTTATTTTAGCAACTGCCATTTTACCTTAGGACTTTTATTCCACCACTATGTTGCCAAAGCATTTGGTCTGTGGCATCCATAGCATGTAATAAATTGATACCGATTCGTTCGTGTTTAAAAAATACAATAGCAAAATGACAGTAGTCACTTGGCTGAGTATATTGATGACTGAAATCTAATTGAAAGCAGACTGTATTTCTCTGATTAGTCCTGTTCCTCTAAATGTAATATCCATACTGTGAGGGCTCAATAAGACAGTAAATCTTTATGGCTGGAGCTTATTCTGTCCTCAAGCATCAACACCATAGTATAATTCGGTGGTATTTGCTGCAGCTCATATGCACATTACACGTTGGTTACAGCACATAATTAAGATAAAGCAGCTAATGTTGATATCAAGCAGAATTGCTAAACTATTACCATTATAGGCTTGAATTTATGGGGAAAGTCAGCATTTTAGTGAAGTAGGGTTTGGGGTAGAGTTGTGATTATGGTAGAAAAATACTTTCTTCCCACACTTAACCTGGCAGGGCTTGGCCGATCTCTCGCCTCACTTTGGCTTTTTAATGAATCCCTTTTAATCTTCAGTCGTGGCACTTCCAATCTTGACCGCTTCTATTAATTAGACATTAATCTAATTATTATCACTAATTACTACTTTTAGATGTACGCCATAAATGGATTTATAAGGAGCTTTCCCATTTTACTGTCAGGTCATCTTAATATTGGTTAGTCATGTTACTAATGCTCATATTCTTTTGTTACCTTAGCAACTAAAGCTCTTATGTGGTATCCAAGAAAGACTCACCTTCTAGCAAATTCTCTTTTATAATAGGGAATAGTTAACGTTAGAGTGTGGTTCTAGTAACACTTGCTCACAGAACCTCCCCCGCCCCACCTCCAAACACCACACCCTTAAATACAAAGACCTTTCTCCATAATTCAGGCATGTCTTACAGGACTCCTAACCGATCAGTGTGATATAGAAATGAAGGAACTGAAGATTATATTTATAGGCTTGTTGTAAAGGAGGGGAAATTGAGGCCCAAAGCAGTTAAATGACCTGGCAGTAGTTAAGCAGATCATGGTCACAGAGACAGAAAAGTTCCAGGAAAGCATTTAAAAATTTACTAGAAAAACAAGACATATTTAATTAATGGATAACCCAATTACTCTGTTGTTTTTTCTACCTTCGATCAAAACCAGTTTCTCACCCTTTATTTTGAGGCTTAGATGTAAGTCAGCCTTCACAGGGGAGAGGAAGGATGCTCTGTGATAAGTGATGGCAAAATCAAATGCATAATGAGATTTGAGAGTTATTTTAATTGCTCATGACTTCCCTCAGACAAGGACAAGTGGAAAGCTTCTAAAGATACTTGTGTTTTTTGCTTATTCTAAATATAATAAAGTAATTTACACAATATGCCTGATCCAGGAAAGCTGTAAAATTATGCTAAGTTACTGTGCTGGTAGGTGACCAGTGAGTGGGAAGTCATTCCAGACATGGAGGGGAAAGGGTAGTACTTAGTGAAAATTGTATAATGAGGAGGCAGCATGAAGAAGAGTTTGCATGTGTAAATTTGTTTTGTTCTTTAATATCTGACTAGGAGTGTTATCTAAGGCAAGTCTTTTTGCTGTGCATTTCAGGAAAGCGAAAGCATGCACCTATTCCCCAAAGAAGGTCGGTTAGTTAGTGTTTGGGGGAAGGGTATAGTGACAGACAGAAGAGCGTTAGGGTGTTTTGCAAGATAATAAAGCTTCCTTGGAGGAAGGGTACCTATTTCTTGAGTAGAAGCAGAGTTCCCTCTTTCAAGGGTGAAGGTGACTTGGGATTCCTTTGGTATCGCCTACAGGCATCATTTTAAGGAAGCAAATTCCTTCCTGTGCTTCAGAGATAAAGCAATAGGTTTTAGTCCCTTGATAGAGCCATGTCCTACCAGCAGCACATGTAGCTTATTTAAACTCAACTCTAAAATTGGCAAAAAGTATGATTTAGAAAATGGTTTAAATTGTGAAACTTAAATTTGCATAGTATTTTATGATGTTTAAAAAATTTTTATGTAAAAAGTGTGAACATCTCTGGTGTCGTTTGAGAATGTTCCTATAATAAACGCCTTTGTTTTGTCAGAAAAAATTGTTTTATGTTACTTGTAGGTTAGTAACCATGAAACTATGCTTATGTATTTATATCAGTTTTAGGGAGGATTTATAAAGGTAATTTTGATTACGCTCAATTTTTGCCTAATAAACTTACCTTAGAACCTAATCCCTACATAAGAACACACTAGAATGTAACATGTGACTGAGACCATAACATAAGGTTTCTCCCCACAAAGCTACCTTACTCCAGATAACTTCTGTCGATCAGATGGGCAATGGCCTTAATCTGATATTAATTTCAAATTAGCCTGTCAAACCACAAAATATCCAAGGTAATGTTTTCTGCATTTTCTTATTTCTGTTTCTCCTTGCCTAACTCGGATGATACTTTTTGTTGCTGCATCTGTGACTGCATGATGTGAAAAGGAATTGAAGACCATGGCTCACCACTGGGGACATTTGCTAAGCTGGCTGCAGGGCTACTCTGCATCCTGTGGTCATCCTGAAGCTTGGCAGGGTGATCATGGCTGAATTACTTGACCGCTGCTCCAAGTTGGTCACCGCACTGTTGATAACCTTGTTTACTGCCCCCTCTCTCACTTTTCTAAGTAGCCAACTCCGAAGGACAGGTGTGAACTTTGCTTTGGCATTTTCTTGTGCAGGTGCGGTCTTACCGGGTAATAACACAGTCCAGGTGGTTTTCCAGAGGCAGAATTTCTGCTGCAACAGCCCCATGGCATTTTTCTTCAAGGTACAATAAATATGCACTCAAGCAAACAATAGGAGCGGAGACTGCAGAAAGCCTAGTGAACTTCAGCAAGGCAGGACCTGTGTTCGCGTTAAAGTTTATCTTGTCTAATTTGGGGATTGGCATAGAAAGGGGCTCCCAGCAATTGCCTTTCTCATGTTTCTTAGGCTGGAGCAGGAGATATTCATGGATTTCTGTTTTCCTTCCTCCCTCTCCCCCTGTCCCTACAGATTTATGAGGAATCCAAGATGAATTTGGAGCAGGAGAGGCCGTTTGTCTGCAGTGCCCCGGGCTGCTCTCAGGTGAGTGTGGGGATCCTTTGGTCTGTTCTTATGGGGATGTAGCTGCCTTTTGACAGCGAAACAGCTCTCACTTGGCAATCATGCCTGCTGTATGCTTTCTTTCTTGACTAAGATATTGTCAAAGCCCCCTTCACCACCACCACCGCCACCATCATCATCATCACCATCTTCTTCCTCATTATTACTATTTTCTACTTTGAATAGTTTGAACTACTTCCCTCACAGCCCCTGAAATACATCAGCATTAGCCATTTTCATCCTTAACTTTCCCCCTGGAAGTAAGCCAGATGCATCCTGCCCACCAGATGTTCAGGACTGTTATTTCAGAAAGGGGAGGGAGGATGCTGCTTTTACAATAGTCACTTGATACGGGGCCTTTGAATTACTGGTGAAATAGCTCACCATCAGAGCTGAATTCTGTTTTCTTTTGTTTTCCTTTTTGAGTACAATAAGCCCCCTATAGCTTTTCTAGAACCCACAGTTTTTTCATTTATCTAAACTTTAAGAGGGGAAGTTGGCATGCTGTGCTAGATTAAACCTCTTTGCCTCCAATGGCTCCCATTAAGTGGAATCATTGTGAGGATTAGATGAGATACTACATGTATTTAGTATAAGGCCTGCACATAATACTTGCTCAATTAATGTTCACCATTGTTACTATTACTGCTGCTATAATTATGGACCGTGTGGCAGAATTTCCCGAGCTCGGCACTGTTAACACTTGGGACTGAATAATTCTTTGTTGTGAAGGGCTGTCCTGTGCATTACAGAATGTTTGGCAGCATCCCTGACCTCTACCTACTAGGTCCCAGTGGCCACTCTCCAGTTGTGAAAACCAAAAATGTCTCCAGGCATTGCTAAATGTCCCCTTGGGGGCCAAAATGGCCCCCAGTTGAGAATGACTGCCTGATGGTTTGCGTTTTGGCTTTAGCGTTGTTGTTGTTGTTTAATCCCTTCCCTTTTGGGGGTCCCCTAATTCTAGCTGATGCTCTCCTGCTCCATTTTATGTGTTGCTGTGAGCCGTCTTTTCTCATTTTTGGAATCAGGCAGGGTATAAATAAATAATGCCACAGACGTGTGGTCACTGGTGTCAGACGCTGCTAGAGCCGGGACAGTGAGAGGCTGAGCAGAGGCTGTTGGGTTTGGCAGTTGGGTTCTGGCGGGTGACCTATGAGAGAGGAGTCCGGGTGGGGGCCAGGTTGGAAGGGATTAATGAGTGAGTGGGTGGTGAGGAAGTGGAGGTGGCCAGCATAGAGGACTCTTTCAAGAGTGCTAGGGAATGACTGGAAACAGAGTGATATAATGGTAGCCTGAGAAGGAAGCAGCCCGAGAGAGCTTCTTTTTAAATGAAAGGCTAGCTGGGCGGGATTTAGTCAAGGGCAAGGAGAAGTGAGCATGTTGGATTGAAGAACTGCAACTGAAGCGCCAACCCCCAGAAGACAAGGGTGTGGAAGATCCCATGAGGGAGAAGGGGGTGCTATTCCTCTGAGGCAGGAAGGAATGGAAGTAGCACTGTGAAGTTACACGCAAATTCTAAGGTAGAGACGGTAGTGAAGGCTGAAGGATGCATTTCTAATGATCTTGAATTCAGGGAAGGAGCAGGTCATTTCCTTGAGAAGGCTGAGTGGACTGGTTGGACAAAATGAGAATTGAGGATTTCTGTAGTTTCTTTGTTTTAAGGTAAAACTCCAAGCCTTTCCCCTCAACCCCTTACAAAGCTTCATGTAAAACTTGATGTTTTTATTTAAGGTGAAAGTGTTTCTTTTTGACAAGTTGTTTTAAAAATATGTGCATCTTTCAATTGAAGAGGTATTAGAATTGAGGAAATGTAGCAGTTGCCTAGTGATTCCAAGGGTTTCCTGGTGGGGTGTTAGCAAATCACAGTCAAATCTGTTGTTGTGATCATGGCATTTACTCTAGTGACCTTCCAGAACCTGGGGACCTGCATCCAGAAGAAAGGATGGCTGGGGATTGGAAAGGGGAGTAAATGTGAGTTATCAGTGCTTGTGCTACGTTGGCAGTGATGGAAGGATGTTTCCCCCTTTTCCCTCATGGAAACAAGCTCTGCTCTATTAGGAATGGTCTATAATACCTGGGAGGTTTTGTGTGTTACAGATCCTTATACATTAGCTTTGTCCCAGAAGTGAAGAGAAACAAGCTTCTCTTGCTCTTTCTGAGCTCAGCGTCCATTGTTAATTTCACAGCTCCTTTGCCCTCGACATGAACATGCTTTGAGTTCCAGGGGCCTCTCTCAGCTGTGTATCTGTCATAGACTGTACATTTTGGTTATTTACAATTTGCTGCTCTTTTCCTGCTAAATTAAAAAGCCCCCATGATGTCCCATACTGTCTCTTTGGGGAGGTATTTATAGTTAACATGACATATTATGGAAATTATTGTTATTTAATGAGTAATCTGGATAATCTATTCTAGGCTATTATTTTACGGAACCAAAAAATGGCTTACAAATATGAAATGTAGGATACTACCATGTTGGTTTTGATTATATATATATCCCAACAAAAATTATAATATGGATTTTAATGGAAAGACTAAGAAGTTTAACCTGTCTCTAAACCTGTCTCTAAACCTGTCTCTAAAATTGATGTAGTCATTATAAGGTATGATAAAGGTTCAAGAGAATAGATGAAGCTGCAGGAAAAAGTCTTTATAAATCAGACTTCTATGTAGTTAATACTCCGACATAATTGCTGTGCTTTACAGATTGCATATGCTCCAATTTATATGATACAAATGACAAATAACTAGGTGATATTTATTCCCAAAACTACTTTCAGAATATTCCAAAGGATTTAGCCCAGTGAATTCCCTCATTCACATGAACACAAATCTGTACCATTTGCAGAGAAGATTTCTACCACAGTATACAATGGTAATTGAAACTTATAATGACTATCTTGAGGAACTGGGAAGCTCTGAGAGACTTCCTGAATTGTCAAAGATTCAGAAATGTTCAGCAGAGTTTATTGTCTTTTGTTATGTTTTCATTTGACCTTGATAAAGCAGATGCTCTGTTAAGTTCAGTTATTAAAACATACCAGCCTGAGTCAGGAGAGGCTAGGATCTACTGCAATAACAAATCACCTGAAAGCTTCAAGGGCTTAAAACAACAAAAGGCTTATTTCAATTGCCCAAGCATACATTTCTGCATTTCTGTTGTAGCTTTACAGGACCTTCTTCATAATCCTCTAGAATTCGAAAATCCTTCAAAGATTTAGGATAATTGAGGGGTCACTATTTCTAATACTGTGAATTGCCATGTTAAAAGGAAGAGGGTCTTGCACCAGGAATTAGGTGCTGGCATGTGAGTGACCTGTCATTTCCATTCATGACTCCATGGGTAGAACTAGTCACATGGCCCCACCAAACCACAAAAGGGCCAGGAAATCCAATCCCACTGTGTGACCAGAAGCGAGACAGCTGAAAACATTTGAGAGCTGCATTTTTAACAACTGTAATATCACTCTTTGAAAATGAAAAATAAAGTGTTGGTTTACTACATTGTACAGAGTATAGAATACTAAAAATGACTTGTCATGTGACTATAAATCGTCTATACACTTATAAAAGATCACATAATGAGCGCAGTGTGCAAGGTCTTCATAAACAGAAATATACTATACAAATGTCACGTGCACATTTGTAGGTGTTTATGTCAAACAGTTAAGCATGACATGTAATTCTTTCCAATGTCTGACATGAATCAAAATTCTTTTCCTGCTTCATGCATTTTTCCTACTTATGGTTAATCTCTAGATAACATCTAGCATACTTATTATGCCTTAGACTATTCTATACTATTTTGTAGTATACTATTTTATACTAGTATGTAGAACGGTAACTATTAGACAAAAGTTCCAAATAGTTTTGCAAAACCCCAGTGCTACTTAGGTCTAAGTTCATTTTTCTATTTTGGACATGTTTTCCTCTCATATATAGGTAGAAATAAGAGAATTTACTTTGTTATGCTGCCACTGTTAGTTTCTTTGTGAACATACATGAGCATTCATTCAGACACTCTTAATCTTTGAAGGTATAGCATATTTCTATTATATAGATGACTTGAATACTTTCAGCATTGTTCCTTTACCTCTTTCTCATTTATTCTTTAACCAAACACAAATTTAAGGTCTTCCCTCAGATGCAAACCTCTCGTTCCTAAGGAAATATGTGATTGACTGATGGGTCTTCACAGTTGATTATATTCAAAGACTATTTAGAAAGTAGAGGCCTTTAAAGGAATTCCCAGGGAAGGTGTAGGGAGTCAGAGATGATGGCAGGCAAAGGTCTCCTATTTCTTATTACTGTTCAGCCAGATTTTACTGCAACCTAGTTAAACCCCTCGTAAACTACAAAGGAAATAATGATGCATATATTTGGGTGCAATTCAAAGGAACATCTCAGCACATTTGCTTGCAAAAAATAATTTGGCATTTAACTTAGCATGCTTTCACACTTTTTCGGAACTAATTTTTTGTTTTGCCTGTCACATGTACAATGCTGAATACATCTTTTTCTCTGTGATGGCAAATGTATATTATAAAACTGAATGGCTCCTCTCCCCTCTCCCCCCCTTTTTTTTCTATTTGTCTGACAGCGCTTCCCAACAGAGGACCATCTGATGATTCATAGGCACAAGCATGAAATGACTTTGAAGTTTCCCTCAATAAAAACAGACAATATGTTATCAGGTAAGGAGCCATCAGGCAAAAAGGCTTTGGGTGAACGGATTAGCCGCATGGGAGATACTTGTTCTTATGATAGGATGATTTCCATTGGCATGTTCTGTGCCTTGAAGATGTATATTTCTAAGGTACAGCAGAGACTTAAAATAATGGTAGGCAGAAATGTAATCAGCTAATGTGGTGTTCACTCAAATAACCAAAGAGCTGTGATTTCTCATTTTCAGGAATGTAAAATATTTATTACTATGGAAGTTGGCTCCATATAAGTATTTTTAAAAATCACATGCCTGTAATCACTCAAGCAAGACATCTTCATTCAGTACCTAGTATGCTGTTCTGAGTACCACGGGAGACGCAAAGATTGGTATGATTCCTATTCTTGAGGACACCACACTATAGTGTACATGTGAAAATGTAGCTGAACTAGAGGACTAAGATATGTTTCACATGAGTATTGTAAGGAAAATGCTATGTGGCTTTAGTAGAAGGAGCTCTCTCTCTCTCTCACAGAGGTGATCAGTCTAAGATATGTTTCACATGAGTATTGTAAGGAAAATGCTATGTGTGGCTTTAGTAGAAGGAGCTCTCTCTCTCTCTCACAGAGGTGATCAGTGAAATTTTTTTAAAGAAACAGTACCTTCCTCCTAAGTGAGAGATTAAATGAGATGATAATGCATGGAATCATAGCAAGTGCTTAGCAAATGTGAGCAAAAATAAATAAACATCACAATTAATCCATCAAGTAATTGCCATTCCTTCCCATTTTGATAGGTGGTGCAATGAATTAAAACAGAGGGCAGGGCCAGGAGTGGGGAAACTTGAACTCTAGCATGGGCTCTCTGCCAGATGACCTTGAGCCATGTTAGTGAACCTTTTTGGGCCTCAGTTCCTTTTTCTGTAAAATGGGAATGATTTTGTCTGCCCAGTTTATTCCATGGGCTCATTGTAAGGATCCAGTGAAAGAATGTAAGTGAAAGTGTTTCCTAATCCCTGGTAGGGTAACTGAAGCCTTTCCTGTTACCCTTCTTAGGCTAGAAATATTTCACTGAAGCCACTGTCTCCTTGGCATCACGAGAGAGATAATACTCCCATAAACATGCTTTAAATGATATCAGAAGAGAAACAGACTGCCCTGGCAGGCCCAGCTCATATAATTTAGCATTTCTATGGCACTTAAATTTTACAAGTATTTTATTATCCCTATTATTAGTAAATCCTGTAAGAGTGTTGTCAGGCAGGTTATTATTACAACTCACATTTTACTGATAGAGAAGAAGGGGCCAAAGAAGACAGAGCAGCTTTCCCAGGCTGACCACACAGGGCAAAGATGAGGGTCCTTGATGCTGAGTGCTAGCCCCTCGACTTGCACGGCAGCTGCATTGTCAGGCTTAAGCAGTTGACAGGCACAATCTCATACTCCTAGGGACAGAGCCATCTACACATCTTCACAAACCCGCCCGTGACTTGTTAATGGTGCAGATGTGTTGTGGCTTGGAAGAATCTCTAGTTCAAAGGCAGCCTCTTTCCTTGCCTCCCCCGCCACCTACCACCTCTCTCTCAGACTGTTCATTTTGATTGAACTAGTTGGCTCTTCAGAAGTAGTTTTATCTTCCCTTAAGTCGAGAAAGAGAAATGCAGAAACTTCAATCTGTAAGAATTATAAAAGCCCAGAAGGGTTAGGAAGGATGGTCTGTTCTTTTGGTTTTATCATTTAGTTTGTTCTGTCATTTATTTTAATTTTTTTATTGTTATGTTAATCACCATACATTACATCATTAGTTTTTGATGTAGTGTTCCATGATGTTCTGTCATTTATTGTACGCTGTAACTTCATAGTTAAACAATGAGCAGATATGTATGCAAGTAGCAGGGTTCCCAATATTTCAGTTTATAAGTTCGCCTTTTATTTTTCCCAAATCGAGTTCCGAAAATAGGTTCCTTGGTGGTAGGAGAGTGGGAAGTGGGTGTTAAATGATGTGGAGATATTACTGCTTAGTGGTAAGTACCAGGTAGTATCTTTCAGGGACATGGCTGGGATGGCCCTACAGGGAGCCCCATTCAAAGGTCTGAAAAAAAAGGAATTCAGGATGTGTGAACACTTCTCTATGTTGCCTATAAACAGGCTTTTGATTAAGTTCTTGCAGCTTTTCAATTGTTCTCACCAGATCTTCGTTAGCTTGAGGCCACTGTTGCCAATAATTGGCAGTGCCAGGTGGAAAATTATTGAGAGGAAAGGCTCTCTAATTTTTATTATGTCAAACTTGGAATAAGAAAATGAAGGGAGAAATAAATATGAGGGAAAATAGCATGAATAAAATATTGGCGTATTTTCGTCTGCTTTCTCAGGGTTTGTGTTGAAGCTAGTATGAGGCCATTTTTTACTGCAAGTGAAATTAGGTGCTACGTTTTTAAACTTGCTATCCACTTTGCATGCTTGCAGTGTCATAGAATTTTCTTGCTGGAACAGAAACAAAGCTATCCAGTTCAGCTCATTACTTTGCATTTAGGGGACTGAGGTCCACTATATGTCATAGGCCAGTGTTGTCCACAGTGCATTGTAATAGGCTGTCTGTTGGGTATTTTTGCTTTGTTGTTGTTGTTGTTTTTTTTCCCCAAGAAAGACTTAGATGTATTTATCTCAAACCTCATGTTAATTTTAACATATTAGATTGTGACTGCAAATGTGACTGAAGTTTTACTTGTCTTATATCTTAATTTATTTAGATTTGAATTTATCAAAGGCTCCAAAGTCTACTAAAATATCTGTTAGAATTTTATTTCCGAATGTACCTTAAGCTTATTTTGTGGCCTATCTTAAGGATGAATGATTTCCTACAGCTTTAGATATAGTAACAGAAATAATAAAAATTGCATAAATTAAATCTGAAATCAGCATTCATCAGCAGGGCAAAAATCTTCAAGCCCCTCTTGGGCCACTTTTTTTTCCCCAAGCAATATTCAATTACACAAAATTTAATTTCAGACGCACTGGAGTTCGACACATATTATGACGAGGAAATATGGTAGGTGTGTTCATAACTAATTTCAGGATATCTGGTTAGCTTGTATTTTGGAAAATTACTTCCTCCTACATTAATTGCAAATATTACAGTCAGGGAAATTATTAAGATTCCAGAGATAGACTTTTCGAAGGTAAGTGTCCAAAGAGTTGTAAGATCTGAAATAATTTCCTAGCTTTGCCATAAAGTCCATTTTATTTAGACCAGGTACAATTTATAACTCAAAATGATTGTAAATGATCTTTGACATGCCATAAGGCAGAGTAGTAAAAGTGACAGTCATGATGTTTTAAGATGAGTCTGCTTTTATGGATAGACAGTAAAATGAAGCCTCATTCCAAAGGGACAGTACTAATTGGGACATGAATGGGGTGGTGATGGTGGATTCTAAGGGCAAAGACTTCTAGCCCCTCCCACCTTGGTCTTCTATTCTTATTTGGTCCTCGTGGTACATTTCCAGAGTCCCAATATGATGATGGACTTGAGTCTTTCCCTTCAGCTGTTCTTGTTGTGATTGAAGATACTTTCATGGTGAGCGAAGTTGTGATATCAGAGGTTTTAGGTGCCAAGTTTGAAATGGGAATCCCCTGAGGACAATATACTTTCACACACAGGTTGCAAAATTATCAGCTATTATATGACAAAAGATCTGTTTGGTTTGAAAAGTATGATCAAATTTTAGTATTGGAGTTAAAGAGTATGGTGTTTGGGTCTATTTTAATGGTATTATGGCTAGGTATTCAGGGATTCCCACATTTTGCCCTGTCAGAAATCCTCACCCCCACTTATTGACACAGTTCCCAGGTTCTGTACAGGAAAAAAACAGAATGGGAATCAAAGTGCAGTTTTATTTATAGCCAGACAAGCAAATAATCCAAATGAGAAGAATGTGTGTGCGTGTGTGTGTTGGGGGTATATGGTGGAAATATTGACCTAGAAGATGATGAATTTTGCTTCATGAAAAGGAAGTGAAGTTCAAGAGTGTTGCACGCCTTTCCTCAAAAGGTAAAACCCAATCAGCATCTCAGGTGGGAAGCCTGAGAAGGAGATGCATAAAACCATGCCTTCAATATGCCTTATAATTCACACCAGACATCACAGCCCAATTAATGCTGAAGGCAACTGGTGTGTGCTTGGAGGGAAATGAAGAAAGGCACCAGCTGAGGTGTGGGAAGAGGGGCTGAAGTTGCCCCTCTTGACAACATAGTCCCTCAGAACCCAATTGTGTCCCTGGATTAAGTCTAGAATTAGGGACTTTCTCTAGTTCCAGGCTCTAAACCTAATTCTCACCATGGAGAAAGCAAGAATGTTGTTTAAAGGAGTAGAACCTTTTTTTTTCAAGAGATCATGATTAATCAGATTATCTCAGAACCCAGAGCCATTAGCTCATGGCTATTTGATACAAACCTACTTAATAATCCATGGACATTCTATTTTTTGATTGTTTTATCATTTTTTATTTTTTTAGACAGAGAGGTCAGGGAGGGGCAGAGGGAGAAGGAGAGAGAGCCCCTGACATAAGGCTTGATCTCACAACCTGAGATCATGACCTGAGCTGAAACTGGGTTGGATACTTAACCAACTGAACCACCCAGGATATATGTATCCTGACTGAATAAGTAAATCTCTCTCTCTCTCTCTCTCTCTCTCTCACACACACACACACACACACACACACACACATATATATACAGGGACCATATTTACCTCCTCTTCCATTGATGGCGAAAGTATACAGTAACTTCTCACTCTTGAAATTAGTCAGGTTTTTATGGAACAGAGGGTGGTGGAAATGGCATGCACCAGGGTGCAGCATGATAATAACAGTAGCTACCATTTATTGCCTTATCTTATGCCTATAATTGTGCCTCCTGTTTTATATACATTATGTCATTTAATCCTGGCCACTCTTTTCATATGAGGAAACAAGGTCGGGAGGATAAACAGTTTGTCCAAAGCTCCTGTCTGTCTATAATTTTCTCATTG